CCTCCATGCATTCAGTGGGCGTGATACCACCTCTGCCCTATTTGGGTAGGAAGAATCTACATTATGGCTATGGAAAATACATAAGATGGCATTGGAAAGAAAGGAAATACCAAAAGACTGGGGCAAAACAATCTTATTGTGCCCATCTACAAGAAAGGAGAACACTTGAATTGTGAAAACTACAGAGTAATATGCCTATCATCTATAGGATATAAAGGTATAGGAAGCCAGGATGGTTTCCTACAGATTCCTGTCATTGGAAAATCAAATTAGAGGGGGGCGACTGCTGGACCACTCCGGGATACTGTGTGAAACAAAAAATCACCAAACTCTAGGAATGGTTCCCGACATGTTGGCCACTCAGACACACGTGAAAAAGTCTTTCAAAGTCCTCTTCCCAAAGAGAGACGAATGGGCAAGTGGATCAGTCCAATTCCCAGAGACCGAACACGTAATGTACACAGAGGGTTCGAAAACCCCTCTTGGAGTTGGAGCCGGTGTGTTCAGCAGAAAACCGAAGACGGAAATTTCCGTCAATCTCGGCAAATATGCTACAATCTTTCAGGCGGAGGTATTCGCAATTGAATTGTGTGCTAGAGAGTTGTCGAATAAACCTCTAGTGAACAAAAATATCAGTATTGTATCAGACAGTCAGGCTGCTCTTAAAGCACTGAGCTCCAGCAAGATAAATTCCAAGCTTGTATGGAGCTGTATTGAATCCCTAGAATGCCTGGGTGCTAACAACAGAGTCACTTTGCTGTGGGTGCCTAGACACCAGGGGATGGAGGGTAACGAGAAAGCCGACATCCTCGCCAAACAGGGAACCGAATCTGTGTTCATAGGACCAGAACCATATTCTGGGGTCACCGCAAGTGCGGCGAAAACAACTATCTCGGGCTGGGCGGAGGAAAAAACACTCACGTACTGGTCTGAATTACCAGGATTAACCCATTCGAATGCGTTCCTGCCTAAACCATCGGAAAAAATGAACAGGCAGATCCTAGAATGGAACAGGGGTAACCTGCGAATTCTGACTGGACTGCTTACGGGACACTGTCGTCTAAGATACCACCTGGCAAGGATGGGTCTGAACCAACAAACGAACTGTCGGTTTTGTTGTGTGGAAGAAGAAACGGCTGAATAGATATTATGTTCATGCTCTAGCTTAGAAAGACTAAGGTTCGACACATTTGGCTTTACCAATTTAGAACCTATCGATTTCAGATAAATCTCACCCAATTCAACCATGAACTTTGTAAAAAGATGTGGATTGTACGGTGAACTGTAACCTCTAGGGGTGAGCCACAATAGACCCATCTGGGGTCGCAGTGGAGGGGAGGTATTCGCCCCACTCACATTGAACCTAACCTAACCATAGGTTTCAAAACATATACGAGAATAATAGAGAAGAGACAGACGAACGACAATATATACATACTGAGAAACTTGATAGAGAGGAGGATGGAAAATGGGGTGGAACTCTTACTGGCGTTTATCGACCTCAGAGCAGCCTTTGATTCAAAACGAAGAACAATAATTTGGAAATGCCTTGAGGAAATAAAAGTACCAAACACACTAATACAAATTATAAAAAGTATTTACAAGACGGTAAAAGGAAGAGTACAAATATCGGGAGAAAGATCAGAAGAATTCGCCTCGCCTCAGCCCATTATTATTCATAATAATTATGAATGAATTGATGGCAAGAACTAGGAGAAGAACAAAACAGCTTCATACAATAATCTGATATCACAGACTACAGCCGGTTAAAATTGAGGTTTTAATGTATGCAGACGATATTGTATAGATAGCTGATACTGAAGAAAAAACGCAAGAACTAATCAATATATGGACAGAACAAACAGAACAATTGAAATGGAAATCGACACGGAAAAGTGTAAGATAATGTTAATAAATAAGAAAGATGATACCAACAGAAGTATATTATGCAAAGAAACAGAATTGGAAGTAGTAACAACATATGAATACCTAGGAAGTATTATCACAGATGATGGAAAAATTGAACTGGAATTAGCCAATAGAGCAAGGAAATCAAACAAGATATATTATTCATTGAATAAGATATTAGGAAAAAGAGAATTGACGCAAGAAACTAAACTAAGAGTATATAATACAATTGTTTTACCAACCATACTATACGCTAGTGAGAATTGGACTATACAAAAGAAACACGAGAGTAAAATAAATGCAATGGTGATGAGATACCTAAGAAAGATGGATGGGAAAACGAAGTTGGACAGAATGAGAAACGAAACAATAAGAGAAAATCTGAAGCAGGAATCAATAACCAACAAAATAACGAAAAGACAATTGAATTGGTATGGACACATAATGAGGATGGGATGGGATAGAACCAGACAGAATAACGAAGAATATACACGAAGCATAACAAAGAAGAAGAAGGGAAGACCACGGAAGAAATTGATACAACAAATAACAGAGGCAGGAAGAAAAAGGAAGATACTGACAGAAAATAGCATTTATACGTCCATGGAAAATAGGAAATCATGGAAACAATGGGTAAACGACACAACAGAAAATTAGCCCATTTCCGACGCCCAAGAGGGTAAAAGGAAGGGGAGAAAGAAAGAAAGAATTGAAATTCATTGAGGTCCCAAACAAAACACCGACCTCATTAAAACATTGGAAGTGTCCAACAGCCAGATTCCCTTCCAGAAGAGATCGAGAGTGCAGACGAGACATTTTTAATTGGTTTAACCCTGACATTCCCGAGAATAATTTGGAAAGGTCAGCCGGAATTTTTCTAGCAGGTGTGACTTAAAGTGACCTCAGAAACTTCCTGAACTTTTTTCGAATTTTTCCAGGATGACGTAATATTATTTTCAGGACCCTCACAATCGTGTTATTTGGGAGTGAAATGGGATTTCAACTCAGAATGAAGGAAACGCTAATCATGGAGAAATATGCATTTATTGGTTATGGTTTGTTATGAAAAGTGACGAAACAATTACTTTGATTGTTCAAACATTTTTAACATCTCGTCCTTGAACGCCTACTGCAACTTTCCAGTAAGCGAGTCCGTGGTGATTTCGGAAAATCAATGACAGGCCAGTGGTTAATCTCATCATATCGTTTGTCATTTGTTGAAATAGAAGTTTCTCTATTTGCAAGAAGAACGATTGGTTTATTGGCATTTTCATCCACCCACTCAACAAATATTCCTCCGGCACTTCTACCTGTTCATGTGCTTTCAACTCCCACTGGTCATCTTTATCGGAATCGATTTCCAGATCTAATCCTATCTGATCCAACAAATCGTAAATTTCATCTTGATCTGTTTGCAATTAAAATTTCTTGGAATGGAGGACAGTTCTGACACACTGGAATGTTAAATCAAAATCGATAATAATCATTAATCCGTAGCGGTTCGCTTCCGGAGCACACACAATTTTGGAAACACCCACTATGAACCACCATGTTGAATCATGTTTTCATCTGCCATTCACTGCATAAAATCATTCACAATATCATATACAGCTGATGTTTTTGATTCACTCACCTTCAGGAAACATTTTTCAGTCGAGACCAATTGCACCACAAGATGATTTATTTTCTTACGCCGCCTGAAAATAAGATAAGCAGCTAATGCGGTTTGTTCCGTGCAAATGGAACACTCACAAGCATAGTGACTGGTTCTCAACCCAGCAAAATGATATTTTGATCCTTCTAAACCACGTAGATAATGCCCGTAAAATTGTGAGGGTAAGGAGCGTAAGGGCTATACTGCGGATATCACCGAGGAGCTCTCAACACCCTGGGCAATGCCCTATTTTTGAGGACCTCGGTCAGCAACAAAATAAATGTAGCTCGCTATTCACCTACCAAAGTCGCAGCCAAGTTTCATTCATTCTGGAGTTACCACTAAGTTTAGAAGTGGTTGGTTGTACACAAGACCCCTACTGATGCACGACATCCATGCCCCCATCCCCTCAACTACTTATGAAATGCCTAACCTGAGGTATAAGAAAGGTTAATCTTTGGAAGGAGTCCATGGTAAATCAAAGTGGAGTGGTGTGGTTAATAGATGAAAACCCAAAGTCATCTCCACAACTTTCATTAGAATGATCAAAGATCAATCGTAACGAAACATCTTTCGGGCTTATATAAGCCTATCATCAACCAATAGAAAGTATCATAGTTATGGAAATGAAAAAAGTAGACATACAAATAGTATAGTTATTAACAGGGCAAACAGGGAAATATGATCCATGAGTGTCTGTAAAATTATGTAAATTTATTATAAAACTCATTTGAAACGGTTAAGGGTTGGGTTCATATTTTACATGGGCCCACGTGCCCTTGAATTAACGAAAAGTGATAATTAAACGTTGAAAAATCAAACTCAGAAGTTTGATGAGGCAACAAAATTAACCTGATAAAGTAAAGAAATGAGTTTTGCATCATTTTACAGAGACATTCATGGAGCATATTTCCCTGTTTGCCCTGTTAATGAATCCAGATGAACATAGTTACTAGATAATGAATTCATAGAGAACAATTCTAGTAATTTCATCGAAGTCCTCAAAATGGAGGTATCAAATTTGCTACAACTTTATTTCTCATTAATTTCCGCGTAAACGACCTTTTGGAAAAAACAGCAAATTTTGTGAACCCTGTATCTTGGGAACTATTAGAACTAGAAAACTGAATTGAAGCTCAAACTGTGGGGAATTTAGTAAACTTGAAAAATGGTCATACGACACCTTTTTCGTCAGAGCCATCGCATGTGATATTTTTGCATAAAACTAAAAAACTGGCGGTTTTTCTGCAATGACTCAACCCGTGGACATTTTAGAGTACTGCAAATCTGAACAAACACTATCTAAGGGGTCGCAAACAACATATCAAAAATGCAATTATTGGAATTTCGAAAGTAACATATTATTATGTCAGGCCTATAGTTACATGAACAAAATATCTTGAAAATGTTCAGCCATATAGGTTTACAATATTTTCAGATGGCTTCTCGATGTTTACCATTTCTTCACAATTGTACCAGAGAATTAGTGATTTTAGAAATATCAGCACCAGCAGGTACAGTTTCTTGCTGGTTATTCTTGGCTGCTATGGAAGTTCTAGAGACCTGTGAAAGATTCAACCACGCTGATGAAGTCGAGGAATATTCTCTGCATACTGCTGCCTTATGGGAATATGCTAGTCAAAAGGTTGTCTTAACGAGCAGATCTTTTCTATTCAGGCAAATTAATAAGCTCATTTATTTTCAAGGTTAAAGATTTAGGTAAATTGTGTGGTTTAATGCCAGGCGGATCACCGACTTCAGAACAACTTCATATTGTTGTGGGGCTTTCAGCAGGAATGGGAGACAGTCCAGGCACCCCCACAAATCCCTCGCCAACTGACAAACTGAAGGAAGCTTTGTGTTCTCAAGAGGCATTTTATAAGACATATTTAGTAGGTATATTATTTCAATTAAACCAGTCAAAACATGAAAACAGTATACAGGGTGGGGTATTAGTACATCGGAGCTCGATTGCTTCGAGTTCTATGATACCTAGATACTTGATTCTAAAACGAATGTGAGGAATTCTAGCTGTAGCCAGATTGCTGACGACAAGCAGTGGTACCGGGTAGTCGGGATTAGAGTTCCTAAATGTACTTGACACTGCTGTTTTGACGTTTTTTATATATTAGAGTACGTACACTAGACAAGCAGTGACAATCGAACATAACCACAAACGATTTTGAAGTAAATCATATTATGTTTTGCCCGACAAGGACAAGAATATGTTTTTCGCTTGGAGAAAGAATCCTCGCAACGTTTAGAGATAAAGCATCAATCAAGAGGATACAGGATAACAAAAATTATCAGTTCAAACGGTAAGGTGACCACGATGCAATTTTACACTCATTCAATTATCACCCTGTAGCATTGTCATCTGAAATTACACAAGTTTCATATTGCCATAACAAACTGCCAAGAGATTAGGCTAATCATCGGTGACAACCACTATATTTTATTTATTTATTTAAGTAGGCAAGCCTAATATACAAAATATATATATATGAATTACAAGTCTATGGATATCTTACAACCGATTTCAAATTGGTAAGGAAATTCGTGAGTTATTCTATTTTGAATCCAGGCTATATTTTGGACCACGACGTTATCAATGTTGACCAGTTTAGATACATCAATATCTGGTACATCTTTTTGCTTTAACTTATTTTCCAACTCTCTATTTTTTTCTTCTATTTGTTTCCTGAATTCCTCACTCTCTTCCACTCGTAAACCTTGGATTTTTGAATATTTCTGCTCTAAAAATTCAAGTCTCTTTCGAAATGAATTTCATTATCTGCAAGTTTTTCGTTTCTTGTTGGTTCTAAATTGGAATAAGGTTCTTTTCGATACTCGCTCAGTTTATAAATTGTGGGTTCGGCTCTTTCTCTCAATACGATCCTATTCTTCAACATAAAATCTTCCGTTCTTAAGTGTACCTGATAAAAATGCGTTGAAAAATGTCCGTGTACTGTCTGTTCCCGCTTTTTCCATCAATTTATTTGTGGTTATGTCTGATTGTCACTGCTTGTCATAGTGTCCGTACTCTGATATACAAAAACGTCAAAACAGCAGTGTCAAGTACATTTAGGAACTCTAGTCGGGATGACCCATACTCGTTTTAAAAAGATATTTTACAAGCACCACAAAATTACCCAATAAGTGTATGCCCAGCGAACATAATCAGAGACTAGAAGGTTCACATTCAGGCAGAACTCTGATGTAGCGCCCACATATGCAGCGGCCGCCTGCGGCTGGTTTCGAGTATTTACATAATCTGGATACAAGGGTGTCGCCAAAGAGGAGCAGGGTGGGGCATCTGCCCCCCCCCTTCCCCTTCCCGAGGTTAACGCTCACTAGTCTAATTGAAAGGACTATTCAGCGTTGCCACAGCTCGCTCTATTGAGCGAGATCTTGCTCGTTTTTCCACTAGTTCACTCTCTCGCTCCTCTTTGTCAAATCTCGCTCGTTTTCACCTCAGCTAGGCCATACAGATGGGATAACGGAGTTTATTTTTTTCAATGTTCAGCTATATTAGCATAGATGGCCTTAACACAAGCGATAAATTTAATGTTTCTACAAACAATGATGGAAATTAGTAGATGGTGCGCGTACTTGACCATTTTTACGTATTGAAAACTTGAGATAAATCACTCGACCGCTTACTATGATTTATCTACGTCATATCGAGCGAGACGTTCTACTTTTGTCCGCTAGATGGTGATGCTGCTATTGCTGCTGTGACGAGTGTGACGAGTGAAAATAAAATGGCAAATGGCAATTTAGGTACGCGGAACATATGTAAAAGCGGGTTTATTTCACTCGGAATTAGGAAAATCTGCGGCATTTTCAAAATTGACAGATGTCACAATTGTGCAATGTCACTATTAGAAGATCACCAAAACCATTGTTCTCGAGAGGTCAAGAAGAATTTCTGAAACGAAAGTGCATCAGTTGTGCTAATTTCCATCATTCTACAAACTGAACATTCGACCGGATAGCTTTGAAATCTAAGGTCCCTTCAAAAAATCATAATTATGATGCTTAGGGTCGGTTGCATGATTCTCTTTGTTAACTCAACGGGGAATCATGCATTTTCATGAATAATTCAATGAAGAGTAAAGCTATGCTCTGATAAATGGAACAACTTTCAAAAAGTAATGTGTTGTGAGTTAATGATCATTTATTTCATTAACAACAAAATTTCGCTCTTTCAGTCAAGATCTCGCTCGTTTTCGACAGCGTAGCTCGCTCGAAAAAATATGTCTGTGGCAACATTCATTACATAATCTGAACAATCACCAGCCAGAGACAACGTGAGCTTATTTATCTCGAAAACATTAGCTGTGTTTCAATTCTGATTGGTCTTTCAGCGTTGATGTTTTCAACGATGTAACCATGGATAGCGAAGCAAAGCCTGTCAGTTTGGCATGAAATAATTATCGCTGTACTTGTCAGAATGAATCACCCATTTTTAATAAATACTGTTTATGCTTCGAGAACGTGAAATAGTCTAATAAAATACCACTCTATTTTGAATGTCTTCTCATAATTTTGTCTTTCATTGTTAACTCAATTGTATTCTTGTACAGCAATACTACTCGTCCTGACGAACTCGTGGTGTTGCTTGGCAACACAATTTCGTGGACAATGAGGCAGAATTATCTCGAACATCGTGATATTACTTATGATAACTCTCAGTTTGAGCCAAGAACTTCCGAAAGCAGATTTTTTTTCTGAAACTAAGAAGGCTTTGAAGATCCTTGTTGCTTTACCTTGCAAGACTTGTACAGTTGAAAGGTCGTTTAGTAGCCTTCGGAGAATCGAAACCTGGTTGAGAAGCACATGTCTGAAGGGGAGTCTGACAGTTCGACCACGGGCAAGGTACCTGTTTTAAGTACACCGATCAGTTGGACCACGACCGCTCTTCGAGCGGATTAAGGTTGTATTCTAAGAATTAAAACAATCACTCTTTTCTTAACATATATATTATTCATTATTGAGATGAATTATAATAAGACATAATTTTTTACAAAATCTTCTTGTGATAGAAGGCCATTTCTATATTCAGATATCTTAGCTTTAATAAAATAATTTTTTTTCTGTGTTGCACTTCTTAGTTTTTTGGTGAAACATTTTACGGAATTTATTTTAATATATGTTTCTGCTTGAAAGATATTAAGATATTTACAAAATTGAATAAACTTGGGTGAGAACCATAAAATTCTGAATTATAATGAGAATGAAATGATTCACACGCGTTTGTGGTCCTGTACATACTATCTGTAGGACATCAAGCCCAACTTGGGGGAAAACTACTCTCTTCATAGATATAAGTTTCTACGATATATTCGCAAAATTTCGATGACTTGGATTACTGGGCTTTATTGAATGCATTTCTTCAGAAAAAAGTTTCCTACTTCATTAGGGTCTAAAAATGGAAGTAAAAAAAAATAATTTAAGAAAATTGCCTATTTATGAGTTTTTGTTCCGATATTCTGTGACTAAGCCCAAATTTTGCGACTCACTTGGAATGTCATGTGACCACGTGACTGGAAACTAAAGACTTGAGGTTCAATGTTATAATATGCAAGAATTAGTTAAGCCACTGTTATTTTTGAAGTGAATAAATCTTATCCCTAAACGGTTCTTCCGTTTTCCTCATTTTTTTGGCAAGTTTTTCCCATAGATGAATTTTTGTCAAATATCACGCAATATCATACAAAGCAACTCCCCATTGGGTGATTCCGTGGTGCTTGTACAATATAAAGAAAGTGCTCCGGCCTCGAAACCCTTATAAAAATCTGTAGCAATTTGTCGAGTATTTTTGAGTTTAATGATTTCTGGAATATTCTTCATAACAACTTTTTTACCCGATGTATTTTCCAGGAATTAGCTGAACTAGCAATGGGAACTTACAAACACATAGGTCGCTTAAGATCAGCCAGATTGGTAGGGAGGGAAGTGGCTTCTTTTTATATGCTCTTGGGAGAAACTCAAAAGGCAGCAGCTTTCTTAGGTGATGTCCTGAGAACTTTCGAACAAGACGGTTGGCATGAGCTGGCCGCTCAGACCAACTTGGAATTAGCGGAATGTTTCAAACAAGCCCAAGACACTAGAAAGTTCATCAGCTCTTGTGCCAGTGTATCGGCTGCATTAGAAATCGATACTCTAATTCGCTGGACATACTTCGATGAGATGTGTAAATGTTTAAATTTGCTTGAAGAACCTTTAATAGTGCCTTTCAACAATATCATAAAAATAGTCAGTGTAAGCTTGACGAACGATGATCCTATAATGCAGGACAGCAATATTACTGCTGAACTAGTTATAGAATCAAATTTTCCAAAGGAAGTTCTTTGTACGAATTTTATGATTTCCATTGAAAGTGATAATAAAGACAACAAAAAGATGATGGAAAAGTATTGTGCCAGTAGGATATTGACAAATAGGGACATGAAACAACAGGATCCTGTGATGCAGAGGTTGAGGATCAAGAAGAATCTGGACTTCAAACAGGACAAACAACTGGCATCTGCAGGTGTCGCTTCGAAATTCACGGAACTGAGGCGAAAAGATAGTTCACCGATTCAGGTTCAGCCCGGTGATTTCAGCCATTGCCTAGAAGTTAGTAAACTGGTATGTATCAGTGGTCCTAAACTTGAAATATACATTCTTTTGCATTCACCGGCAGCTGAAAATATTGATTGATTCTTCAATACAAGAGCCAATCAGATTATTATAATTTCTAATGGGGTTGTACCACACCAACACATCAACTGATATGGTTGAATTATTTGGCTAGAATTCAATTTTGCAGTATGGATTGTATCCAATGCAAATATTCATATATTCGATACATTTCATCAACATGTTCATTATTCGAGAAAATAAGATTATTGTGGTGTACTTTGTTCTTGTCTGCCACAAACAATTGTGAATTCTAATGCCATTCAAGCATGGTTTATGGAATTCTTCTGATCATTGTATACAAATAGTTTTCCATATGATATTGAATAGCCAAGAAAAAAAAAATAACTATTTATTATTTCATAGCAATCAATGTGAATGGCAACAATTTTTTTCCCATTTTATTAAATAGTCAGTCATTCAATTGAAATTAATTCTTAATAATTGTGGTATTAATAGTCATGATCTCAATTGCAGGTATTATTAGTATATATACATCTCATTTCATCAATTTCAAGTAAGTTTCCTATATTTTGTAGCCTCTCGTCTTAACCCCTGGACTGAACATAATGAGACTGAACAAACAAGCAAACCACATAGGAAAATATTATTTAGGACAAATAGCCATACATATAAAGAGCCTTCATTTAGTTTCGCCTGCTTTATCGCCAAAGTTGGCTTTCGAGGTCAAGGAAGAAGCACCGACGTTGAAGCTGTACAAAAAGGCGGCACCACTGCTCTCTGGCATAGAGCAAGTTATGAACTTGATTTTGACCATAGGAAGTTATCCTGTTGACCCGGTAAGAATGATAACTTGATACAATCCCAATAACCACCAGAATTTACAACTTCATCTCTATAACCATAAAAATAAACGAGGAGCTAAATTTGCCACCCACTATGGGCAACTTAGATATTTCTGTAATTAGTAATTATATTGATAGCTGTATACAAATATAGAAGGGGAGACTTCCGCGACTGTTGGAATATGTATTTTTGGAATATTCTTGTACATTTTCTTCATCTAGACCAATAATAATTATTTGTAATAGGTGTACACAACCAATATAAACACAAATATGGAAGAAAGTCTACAGGTGATTCATTAGGTGTTATTAGTGATTGTCATTATTAATTACAGTATTTTTTTTGAATGTCACTTTGCTAACTTAATAATTTAAAATAATAAAAAAATCATAAAAGACACACAGATCGTTTCAAGAACAAATAACGCATAAACTGTTAAAGCTAGACAATTTGAAAAAGAAAGTATTTTTCATGTTGAATTGAACAGGCTTTCAGATTTTCGACTTATTTTAAGTGTTATCCATTGGAAAAAGAGGATAAGATGTAATTTACTGCCGTAATAGAGTGCTACCAGCGACCTCTATGAACAATCATAAAATGAGTTTCAAATTTATAGTTCTCTTGTCAGGAAACCTGAAACTGCAAAATTTTATGTTTATGCTGTTGAAACTCACAAAGTTATTGGGAGATTTCAAAATAAAATCTTCCCCTATCTCCTAAACCAGTTACATTTTTATTAGGCATGTAAGGCTCCATCTTCATATCTTGGTGTTTACTATCTGTAGTTCTGAGATTTCCCATTCTTAATGAATCACCCTGTAGATATAAAACACGGCAAAGTCCGCCGTTGATGGCGTTTGGAAGCTATTGTATCATATCAAGATTGGTAGCACTGGTAATTATAGTTGTTACCAAATAATTGGTCATATTTTCAAGAGTTAGATATTATATCAACAGTCGCAGAATTTGAAATTGAAAGAAATTAATAATAGGTGCATCCTCGAATTATTTGAGATATTATTTAATTTGGTTTTTCTTTCGTCAAAATTGAGTAATAACTAACGACACTATAGATTGGATCGTTTTTCGTCCTAATTAATTTTACCCCAAACATTTTCAAATATTTGTATTTGGCGGATTTAATAGTGTTATGTGGGCTCTGTCATCCATGTTCCCAATCCTTATTTGGAATTTTCACCTTTGAGAACATAAATGTGTTCTCTAAAAGGTGCAAGAACGTTCTAAGTATTAACAACAACATCCTAATTTCGATATCATCTTATTTCATGTATCTATATCATCAGGAAGCAAAAATAAAGCTCATAGCGTCACCAGGACTGACCATGCAAATTGCACCCAAGGCTGGTCTCGTCAGTACCCTAGAAATTGAAGCGGGCAAAAACGTGCCGTTCTCCAGCACCAGGAAACCTCTAAGGGTCCTAGCGGATATGTTGACGAAAGAACACCAAGTAACCGTTCACGTCCCATGGACCTCGAAACCAATCGTGGTCCCGCTGAGTTTCGCTCCGCCGCTGACTGCATTTTGGAAGCTGTACACGGTGTTGCACAGGAAGTTCGTTCAAATCAATATTACAGGACAGTGCGAAAAGGATTTGATAGTCAATCAGGCGAAGTTGAATGTCGGAGGTGCCATGGATATTGTTGAGAAAAACTATGCGTCTGTGCAAGTAGGTAACGTTTATTCATTCATTATTGTTTGCCACTTTTTGCTCTAATTAGGGTCCCTTGATGCAAACTGACGTATTTGTCATGTAACAGGGTACGGACAGATCATAGCTCCTTTCTCTTTCAATCATCTAGTGTCTTTGGTTTCGTGTATTGCCGTCCCTGACATGACATTGCTGTCACGTCACATTCATAGGCGTTAGAAGAGATCTTACAATTTTAATATACTTTATATTAATATGACATTATTCAATTCTGTTTTGGGAGGATGGTAAAATGTGCTGCGCTAGGGTGTATCAATCAGATGGATGGCAAATTTGAATTTGTCAGTCTTCCAACAAATGCAGATGAACTTAGAACATGGAAAGTGAAGTGACCAAATGGGGAAAATTGGTAAATACATCAGCAAAATATTCTAGGTAAAACTAATACAAAATCACATATTATACTTTCTCATTGTGCCTATAATTATCCACTCCACAAGTTTTTGAATGCATTTTAGTAGAAACCGTTTTTATTAAAACGGAGGATTAAAAGAAGAGTCATATGTCATACTATTTAAAAAAATTATACCTACATTCAGGAAATATTAAGTGTTCGTGAAAAACTGCAAAAATGATTCCCAGCATGAATATATACATATGAGAACATAAGTTTAAATACCTACATAACATTTTTCACCATTTCTCCACCATAAGGCTTAGTCTGATATCAAAATTCATTTATTGATAGGTACTGCCTAAGAACAGTCCCATTTGGTAAAACGTATTAAACTTTCAGAAAAATTTGCTCACTGCCTCACAAAGATTATGCTGGAGTTGAAAAATCAAACACCCGAAAATTATCATCATCATTTGGATATAATATGTAGAGTTGAATGAGAAATTACATGTGGAAATTACGCATGATACGCCAATGTCCTCAATATAACCTAAAAATCAACAAATGCCAGAAATCTAGTGTTTATCCCCAGAAATGAATGAAGATGGAACTATATAACTGTTTCACAAACACTTTAGAGTGAGAGAAGACGAGGATCTGTCCGTACCCTGTTAAGATGACAAATACGTCAATTTACATCAAGGAACCCTAGCTCTAATATCCTTCCTTCTAATGGTTAACTATTATCACAAGTTATACTTAACAAGAGTAGTTTGAATTCATAACTGCTTAATTCTGTTTCAGATTATTTCTAATGGTTCAACATATTCATACATTTGGGAATTGCTTGTCAAATCTGATATGGAGTCTACAATTAAAGCAGAGTTTTCACTTGTATATAAATTAGAAAATCAAGATGATGTTAATAAGCTGTATCAATATTTTTTTGATATCACTGATTTTCAGGTAAGTCTGATTTTTTGTTTGAACAATTGTTGTTCTAAAATTGTTCTATCCGTCATTCGGTTGCCCCCTTATGAGCAACCTTCAGAAGTTTTCGAGAGTCTTGTGCGAGCAAGGAATGACGGAGGCCTTACCTTTTAACGTGTGGTTTCAAACACTTTCTTGGGCCATCAGAAAAATGTCTGCAGTCGCTGGGAATTAAACCCATGACTGGCAAGCGAATGCGGATTAGAATACTGACACTCTGTCCGCACGACTACCTGGCTCCCAATGTTTGAGTGTTTGCCAGTGATTATTTGTTTTTGATGCAGAATGTATGAGTTAGCCAATTCAGAAATTTGTTATCGAATTGCAATATGTTTCTGTGATGATTGTTCATCTCTCAAACTGACAAATAAGAACTGAAAATAAACATTCTAAAATCAAGACCAACGAGCTATCCCTACTACATGAGAAACGAGTAACACCTTATTTGTTTCACTAATTTGTTGGCATGCATCATGTTGACAGAGATCCGATAATCGAAAGATATAGAACTAGCACATTACATGAATCAATGATATACGTCTGCCTACAATTTATGGCGACCAGAAAATCATGTGTCAAGTGTCAGAAATATATCACGTGATCCAATGTGATATATGCGAACTTGGAGGTGGAATACATTTTATGATTTTTCGTATTGTCTATGATCATTCATAAAGCAAAGTGTTGGAGGTAAGGACGGAGAAAAATTGTGACACAAGGAAAAATTGTGACACAAGGACACCTTCACTGCTAACCAATTTGTTTACTTTCCATTCAATAGGTTTTGATAATCGGAGATTCTGTATAATTAAATTGTATAAATTATAATGGAATGACACAATACAATTCATTGTAAAGTAACTTGAAGATGATTAATTGGATCGAAAATTTCAAAAAAGAAATGACGAAACATAACCAGCACTGACAGTCAGACATTACCACAGGTAAATAGATGAAAAAAGCGGAACTGATAGTACACGAATGTATGAGTGAAAAAAAAGAAGAAAATATGGAGAGTTGGAGAATGAATTGAAACAAAAAGATTTACTTAAATTCCAAAATTAGAGTTAACAAAATTGACAATTATTACCAAAAAGTTATATCAGATTTTAAACAAAATCAACATAATATCTTCAGAGGAATGCTATAAAACTGAAAATGCAAATAGCCAGGCAATTTTGAGTCAAATCCACAGTTTTGATGAATAAAATTGAAAAACTTTCACAATTAAAACACGAATGCAAGATATTTGAATGACAAATTGAAAAATATTAGTAGTAAAGATGCTTTTTTTAATGGTAATAGATGGGATACAAAACATTTGAAACAAAAAAGTGTGGTTTATTTGGTTATAATACTTTATTGTAATTTCAATATGAATTAACATCACTGTGAACTTCGAATAGACGAATTTCAAACCTTAATTCTCAACCAGGTATGATGAATGAACATTAAAATTCTAAATTTTTGATCCGTGCTCCAATGCTCCATGTGAATGAGACTGTTGTCCTAATTTAGATAAAATGACAATCACGCCTGAAAAATAATACTCAATTCTTGGCTATAAAACATTCACCAAATAGTCTGAAACCGCTACCCATATTTAGGTTGTTTTGCTGGTCTTACCATTTTTTTTTCTACAAGGAGACGTCATAAGTCTGAAACCGCTACCTATATTTAGGTTGTTTTGCTGGTCGTACCATTTTTTTTTCTACAAGGAGACGTCATGCACCCTCATAAATGAATGAACAAGTGGACATGTGGAGGAAGGAAAATACGAGAAGCACTGTGTCTTAAGTCATTTCATTTCGTGATTCCGTCGTGTGATTAAATTTGTCTGCAATATTTGAGAATGTGAAAATGGAGAAGAGCAATGCCCTTTTTGACTCTATATTAGTCCATCTCAAATCTGGTAATGTATGATAATAGTCTCAAATCTGGTAATCAGTCCGATTCTCTAGGAAGTGTTTAACACGGTGGCTAAATTTGTAACGTTGTTATTAAGAACTTTTTTAACCACCCCAGATTTTCCACTATTGATATTTGCTATTCTATAAAAACAACATTTATCAACGTGGTTAGTTTTTTACATTTCCACTCAGTGGTATAAAATAAAGCTATATTACTAATTTCTGACTTTTCAACGTCAATTCAACCTGAAAATTAATTTACTCTACAACTTCTACAAGCATTGGGTTGAGACATTGCTACATTAGAATCAGTCCCTCTGATAGGATCCTCGTGCAAGCAATAAATGTAAGGCAGCAAGTACCTGAAATACTAGGCATTAGTTATAAATATTCTATAAGTACTCTCTATACCTACTGGTATATTACAAAAACTCAACTGAGATTCACTTCTACATGTAGTAGAATAAAAGTAGCCAACTAACGTCTTTCATCTGAGGTTCTATTAATGGTATCAAAACCTCTAAAACCAATACTTTTGGAATGTGATAACATTTTCGAAATTTAAGGATGGACTTGTTGAATCCCTCTGAATTCTATTGTTTGATGCTATCCTTCTAGTGAAATAGGTAATTTTTTTAGGTTCACAAATAATTAGGTAGATATTTCATACTTTCTTGCCGTAGAATTACCTCTTGTGCAACATCTAGCATTAACAGATGAACATTTCCTTGAAATAGTGCAACATTTCTTTATTAAAAACCTTAGCCACTCCACAAATCACCAGAAAAGGCTGGTGGATATCTGCCACTATGAAAAGTGGAAAAAAACATAACAAGTTGTTAAGTTATTATCCATCTAGGCCTTAGAGAATCAGAAAATCTTTGAGTGGTTCATATAACCACTGACCTTCATATTAACCACCCGAATGACAGTTGTTAAAATAACCACGCTCTTAGTGAATCGGACCGAATGTATGATAATAGAATGATATTTCATGAAGTGAGATCTATATAAACATTCAAATATATCAGTAGGTGTAAGAAAAATAACATGAGTTGAAACTCTTGATTACTTCCACAGTTGCCTTTTTTAGTATGAAATAAGATTTCAAAGTATCACCAACTTATTGTATGAGGTATCACTTTGTACTGAAAATGAAACTAATGAATACATTTTGTTTATTATTCATTTGGTATTTTGAACCACATCACGCGCTATTACAATTACCTAAAAGTATGATAGAATCCATACTTGATGACAGTTTTAACCTCAAATTACGATTAATATGTTGATCCACCAATCCACCTAGTTCGAAGGACGGTGAGTTGATAGCTCATAAGATTGTTCACCAGATGAATTAAGCAACACAGCATATTCTTATCACATTTAATTTCAGTGAATTTGGCTAGAGTTTCTAAATGTACTTGACACTGCTGTGTTGACATTTTTTGTATATTTAGAGTACGGACACTAGACAAGCAGTGACAATTAAACATAACCACAAACGATTTTGAAGCAAATCACATGTTTTGCAAGACAAGGACAAGAATATGTTTTTCGCTTAGATAAAGGATCCTCGCATCTTCCTTCCTCCAAAAGTCCTGGGAAGAGTACATCCATATATCTTTCTCTGTCTTTGATTCTTGTATGAGAGTGGGTAAAAGGATACGATAAATTGATCAGAAAATTATTTCTTCTAGAAATATTCAATAATAAGGCTGTAGGACCACAATGAAGGTTGATATCATATATATGTAGGTATATATATACGTTCAGTTGAATATTTTTTTGTCACAAAAGATCAGAATGGGGTAAAAACTGATAAATTTCAACCAATGAAACATACTTTTATTTCGTATGGAACAATTTCACTTGTCCAAGAGTGGTAGGTATTAAGTAATTAATAAATGAACATGAATCATGCTCATATAAAGTTAGTATTGTTCATCGAAACTATGAATTTTGCTCAAAATTGCCTGGATATTTGCTTGTTCAATTTCCTTTTATTTCTTTGAAGATATTTGCTAATTTTGTCTCAGATCTGAGATAATTCTTAGGTAATAGTTCTGAAATTTGCTAACTCTGACTTTTGTATCTAAATCTTTTTGCTTTAACTTATTTTCCAACTCTCTATTTTTTTTCTATTTGTTTTTCTTTCAGAATATGTTCGAAATGAATTTCATTATCTGCAAGTTTTTCGTTTCTTGTTGGTTTTAAATTGGAATAAGGTTCTTTCCGATACTCGCTCAGTTCATAAATTGTGGGTTCGGCTCTTTCTCTCAATACGATCCTATTCTTTAACATCAAATCTTCCTTTCTGAAGTGTACCTGATAAAAATGCGTTGAAAAATGTTCTATATCCTACCAAGAAATTTGAATACCTCGCAAATGTTGTGGCCTGAACCTATATTCCATGCCGACCGCATCATATTCTGTTTCCATTTTTGTAGAATTACCTTATCCGATGGAAATTCGAATAAAGTGAATTGATTTCCCGTGTTCTCACAGTTGGAAACTGCACAAACTTGCATCTTCTCCTAATTCTGTCAATTTGTCAAACCTTTGAAAGTTATGTCATGTACGTCCGTGTACTGCCAGTTCCCGCTTTTTCCATCAATTTATTTGTGGTTATGTCTGATTGTTAGTGCTTGTCATAGTGTCCGTACTCTAATATACAAAAAACGTCAAAACAGCAGTGTCAAGGACATATAGGAACTCTAAATTTGGCAACAGTAGGAACTCTAAATTTGGCAACAGTAAATTATCCACCACTTGTGTCGATAGACCAAATTGGTGAGTTTCGCAACACAGTGAAGCCTTTATCTAATAAGCGAAAAACATATTCATGTCCTTGTTGGCAAAACATATGATCTGCTTCAGAAACATTTGTGGTTATGTCTCACTGTCACTGCTTGTCGAGTGTCCGCAAATATACAAAAACGTCAAAACAAAAGTGTCAATCAACTGATGTATCTTCTAGACCCTGTACATCTTGGACGCGGCCGTCGAGCCGGCCAAAGAAACCGAGTTCTGCCGAGCCGGCGTCGTCTGCCGCCTCAACCTCACCATGGAAAACGTCGCCTTACATCTTCGCGCGCCCGATTCGACGTCGATAATGTACGAGGTGCTGGCGGAACAAAGCGTGTGGGCGGTGTGCGGCCGGACGGCGGGAGTCGTGTCCTTCGAGCCGGCGGAGCGTCTGCGCATTGTGGCGTTGGACGTGATGCCGCTGGCCAGCGGCCATCTGCCGCTGCCGGCCGTGCGGATATCGAAGTACATTCCCGGAGAGACTGGATCTGCAGGTACCTATATTATTTATACTCCAGTCGAAGTTTAACAAACCTTACAGATGTGCAACTCCGCCCCTTTCGTACCACATAACTATAACCCAGACTCCAGAGTAGAATGGATATTGAGGTTATTAAACTGAAAATGTACCATTTTGGTAAATTATTTCGAATCAGCATAAAACACAATTATCACAGACCTTGAAATGGGTTCTGGAGAAGTATATGGCTCATCAGATTTGGGTAGATAAAATTGATTTATTTATTTATTTATTGAAAATGTGATTTCCAGTCAGAATCAAGTTCTGGTATACGGAAGTATAGTTAACAATAATACCTAAAACTATACAATTATAATAAACTCATAAATAATATAATATTTGAAAACATTAAGTATTAAATTTTGACAAATCATTTCATATTGGTGAGCAAAAATCAATTTGAATATGAATCAAAAGTTGAAAAAAAATCATCTATTTCGTTCAGAAATGAAAAATTTGGTATTTGATTGTATTTTATTGTATTTCTGCAATTTTTTGTATTATCTGGTAATTTGTTGTATTCAAAAAGAGCAGCGTGGGTGAATCATTTTTGGCCTATAGAAGAATTAGTGATATCAAGATGAAATAAACCATGTTGTCTAGTTTGGTAATTATGAATTTCATTGTTTCCTGTTAAAATAAAATTGGATTTCAATCTTTTATTTACGATATTGTATGTAATTTTCATATTATGAACCTCTCTTCTAATGAGAATGATTCAGTTATTTTATATAATTGATTTGTTGTTGTATCATATGGTAAACGATACAGTACTTTCAATGTATTTTTATATAATGCAGATATTTTATTAAAATTGTTTTTTGAACAGTATCCCCAAACATTTATCAAATACGACTGATTATATGAGAATATAGAATTATATTTGCAACTTTTTTATCCAGCTTGGGACATCTTCTCAGGGCTCCAATAATAGGAGATATTTTTTTCGTCAAAACATTTATATGTTTGTCCCACTTTAATTCATCATCAAACCAAATCCCAAGATACTTTTTCTCATTAGTTTGTTTCAAAGATTCATTTTTGAAATAGTTTTAGAAATAAGATTTCACTCACTTATCCATTCTCATATTCCTTATACTTAGGTATGAGAATTGAAAACCGAAGGAATGCGACATATGTAAGGGGCGAGTAATGAGGCACACACAAACGATACAACACCACCTTTAATGCCCCAACACCTTACAACCTTGCCACTTGGCTGACTGTAATATACTGACTCATTACTAATCTCCTATCTTCAACCGTTCTGCATTCCGTGATTCATCATACTCGTAATCACCAACCGCCGTCCGCTTATGTTATATGCTGTGTGTATAACACTCGGCCATCCTGATTCCACCGATTGTCCACAATCGCTGCAATCGACATTCCATCCTAAAAAAAAAGAGGAATACATGCAAATCTCCTGAATAGTTGTGCGAGCAACGGCACTTTCACGAGTTGTGCGAGCAAAGGCACTCTCAAAGGGTTGTGCGAGCAAAGGTACTCTCAACGGGTTGTGCGAGCAAAGGCACTCTCAAAGGGTTGTGCGAGCAAAGGCACTCTCAAAGGGCTGTGCGAGCAAAGGCACTCTCAAAGGGTTTACATACCTTTCAATTTCTAAGAACGAATGTGGAAATGTTTCATGTGTTCCAGGCATACTACAGCTTCGTATGGGATTCTGGAACGAGTGGTATGAATGTCTTTTTTCACCCTATATCGATCATTCGGAAGAACTTCAACCACCTTGAACAGGCCCTTGTACTTGGACCACAACTTCTTACTCTGATTGTCGTTTGCCGGTAGACTAGCTATTCTTGTTAGCACCATATCGCCCACTTGAAATCCGTCGGTCTGACGTCTCTTTTCATTAAAGCGTTCATCTTGAGTTCGTCTGTTCGCCTCTCATTTTTCACTTGCCGTTTTCCTCAGATTATGGAGTCCATCCTCTATCGTGTTTGATGAAATGATTATGTCATCTAAATATGGTACTACACTGAACTGTCGCAACGGTTCAAAAATCTAAGACATCATTTTTTGAAAAACACTCGGTGCATTACACAATCCAAAAGGTACACGAAGATACTCGTAGTGACCTTCAGCGGTGACGAAAGCAGTTTTATGAATGGATTCAGGGTTCAATGGAATCTGGTGATAACCAGATGCTAAATCTAGTGTAGAAAAATATTTTAAACCTCACAGAGAGTCGATCAGATCCTCAATCAGGGGTAAAGGGAAGGTCGTTTTTTCTGTTATTTTATTGAGAGCTCTGTAATAGACTACTAGACGTTTCTCGTTATTTTTCTTATCGACTAACAGCGCTGGGCTAGCATAATCAGAATTACTTTTTCTAATAATTTTTGCAGAAAGTAGCTCTTCAATCTGTTGCCTCATGATTTTTTCATCATTTTCTGATAGCCTATACGGACGTTTACAAATTGGTTTTAGTGGAATTAGTTTCAATTTTTAGTGAAACAGAGTGTACCTTACCTAGCTTGTATAAAGATGTAAACAAACAGTTCTCAAACTCGTGAATCAATTGAAATAGTTGCAGCTTTTCTCTTTCGGTTATATCACGGTGAGAAATCCTGTGCATTTGTTAGGGCAGTTGCTCTTTTGAATGTTAATTCGTCACCTATTCGAAAATATGAGATTGTTCTATCCTCCGTGAAGTTTCGACCCGAGTTTCGACCTATTATCAATTGAGTGTCGTTGAGTGATTCATCAATAACAAAAACCTTTGTATCTGATATGGAGCATTCGCCAATACTTATTTCGACGATGATATAATCGAAAATAGTTGTGAATTGACCTGTGAATCCAGCGAAATTCACAGGGCAATCCAATTGTTGAATAGTTAACAACAAATGGACTGCCAAATTTTTTTCTATGACGGAACAGTCACTGCCTAAATCTATGAACGCTTCCACTTTTTGACCATTGATAGCAACTATTTTGTGGAACTTTTTGGAGTTCTTTTGATCATTTTGACATTCTCTGTCCTTGTTTGACTTCTCTCTTTCTTTCTACAAACAATTTCTAAATGACCAAGAGTTTTACAGAAGTTACAGACTTTGTGCCTATGAGGGCATATTTTCCTTTTATGATTATTATTGACACAAGTTTTACATGGGCTTGACATTGAGAAGTGCGTCTTATGGTTTACGAAATGTTTACTAGGTTTAGGTATTCTGCTTGAACTTGGTCTCGCAAATGAAGACTTAAGAATTTCTGTGTTCTTCGACAATATCTTATTGCGCAAATATGCAGCCAATTCATTAGTGCTCTTGATTCCTGAAGCCTCTACAGCGGAAGTTATGTTTTTATCATTTATAGACCCCAATATCAGATAAATTTTGTCATCGTCAGAAAGATTCAATTTTAAATTAAAAATTTTAGCGGAATGTAGGAAGAAAAATTCATACAGAGAACTGCCTACTGCTGGCTTATGATTCATGAGGTCAGAAAATAGGGAGTACATTTCGCGTCTGCTGTGGAAAGATTCTCAAAGTTTTTGTTTCCACGTTCTCCAAGAGTATTGTGACCATCCTGGCTCATTTGCGATCAGATTCTCATACCATACTCTTGTAGTTCCTTGAAGTTTACTAATCGTTTGAAAGATAATGTTTTCCGAATTCCACCCACATACGCGAGCACTATTTTAGATTGTTTCGACCCACTGTGAAACATTGTCTGTTACAATACAACACCACCTTTAATGACCCCAACACCTTAGGTTGTAAGGTTGTCACTTGGCTGACTGTAATATACTGACTCATTACTAATCTCCTATCTTCAACCGTTCTGCATTCCGTGATTCATCATACTCGTAATCACCAACCGCCGTCCGCTTATGTTATATACTGTGTGTATAACACATACAACCTGTGATACAACCGTTAGGGAATCACAGGTAGGGTATTATTCTGTGCAGAATCTTCACCATACATTTAGATGGGTAGATAGTGCCCGCATACAGAACACAAAAATGTGTTTTGGATGAAGAAAAGTAGCACATCACATGTCTAGTTCTTTCAGTATTCAATATGTGGTCTGCTAACTAGTCATCCAAACGAAAGGGAATGCCAATGATGATTGAATAGAATGAACATATGAATATTGTTATTTTATACATAGGAGCGGAAACATGAAAATGTAACAAAAATGTCTTAAATTCAAAATGTAGTACCACCGTACCAAACAGAATTAAATGTACCACCGCGACAACACTGTTTATGCAAGTGCAAATTCGAGCGTAATGAGGCACATGCGCAATAGCGTTGTGTAAGGACCGGACTTGAGACATTACTATTTGATATGAGTCATAAACAAACTACACTATGATATGGGATAGTCAGTACCTACAATAAGTGAATTTTCTGCGTGGACTAATTCTATTATCAGAAATAACTGTTATACAAGTTATTTTTTGGAAGATACCTATCACTTTGAGAACTATTTTACTTCAAAAACAGTTAATTAATTGCTTCAACTCTAGTAACTTTCACATATTCGCATTCGAAGATAAATAAATTATTAGATTTTTTGAAAATATTTAAATCAATTAATATTAATCATGATTGAAGAAGCAGACATTTTTGTTAAAGTCCTAGCAGTGTCATGAAACATTTCATTCATAAAAGTTTGAAAGAATAAGGAATCAAGTGATTCAAATTGTAATGTCTGTCACTCGTGAGGTTTAGGGTGAATATCAATAAAACACTTTTGTACTCGATGACACCTTCCACTCCGCCCGACCGTCGGATCACAACTGCCTTCTTGTGCTGTTGTTACCTAACGGCCCAACGTCACATTCGGTGATTTATTCAGATTAATCATTCACATGATAATATATTGAACTTTAGTCATTTATATGAAATACTACACAAATGAACATATTATTCTATATACTCAGTATGAAATAGAAAAAAAATCAAGAAACAAGAACACTGACACTATAAAGAAAAACAAGAATTCAAATTCACTCAATGAAGGTTCTAATGAAAATTAAGAACTCAGGATTTTTCTATAGGAAATCCTTGGGATTTAATGCAACTAATGGAAACAGAAAACATGATGTCAAACCTTATTTTAATATGTTGACACTGCATCAAATTATTTTTCCGTGTTCTATCATTCGTATGATAGTAATCACTTTCTTCAAAATGTCTCGAGCATATAATAATTATTATGAGGTTCCAAAGGTCTTCCTATAGCCTGTAGCCAAACAGAGCGCCTTTCTTCCAAAGCTGCAAGTTACAAATCAGAATTCAAACACATGGAGATTCTCCCAAATCGATCCTGATACACTGAAGGTTTGACAGGTGATTCACCTGTGATATGTGATTCCATGGATATTTCCGATGTTTTCATAACTTATAACTGTTCAAGTCAGGATATTTTCATAAAATTATTGTTTCCTGAACCGCTTTAAATAAAAACAAGTGGAATCGAATGCAAAAATACCAAAATAAACATACAAAAACAAATGAGCTGAATCAGCTGATATGTCTTACGTCAAACGATACAATCACAGCACATGTTCACCGTTCTGCTGAGTCTGCCATGTTGTGTGAATGTTTTTCCGAATAAGTTGAGAACTAATTTCCATTCTAGTCTGGGTTATAGTTCTGTGCCTCAGACCTTCAAATTGGTACAAACAGTCGAGAGTTCGTTGAATAATTCCGCTAATACAGTGTTACCATTTCATGAGAACCTAAATTATGACCGTTGGCACTGTTGCCAGTTTGTGGTAAACATTTTTGATGCAATGTTTCATTTTCCTGAGATGAACCCAAACTTTTTCAATTACCGATTTGAGATACCTGGGAATCTGAGGAGTAGGTATTGGGTAGCAACAACGACGACTCCTGGCATCAATGTAGTAGTATACTTATACTATATAGAAGAATGTAAAGCACTTTCGTAGTACCTGCAGAGAAAAGTTTGGAAATATTCAAATTATTTGGTACATTTATGGACATCAAAGAAAAACGATAAACAATAAAACTGCACATTGTTGGCAATGAAAGCTATAGATTTTGGTGTCTGTAACTGGGCCTTTTTTCTCCCTTCATTGATGCATATTTTCTCGTTGCAAGTAACACATCTACGGCGATTTTTAGACATCTGCGAACATTATAGAGCACTTAACATAAAATAAATATGGGGGCCTGGAAGACAAATGTTTATTGTCTGATTTGGGCGATTCTGGTATATTGTTTCTCAATGTTCATTCATATATTTCTTTATTATGGTTCCTTCCACTGGATCAGTCATGTGTGAAACATCAATTTGTTCTCACAAATCACTCATAACTTTTTGTTTCTCAGTTGACAATCAACCTATTTAGTTGTGATCTTCAGAGAGATGGCAAAGTTATCAACAATATGAAGTTGGAAAAACAGCTTGCATGCCATATCAATAAAGTGCAAACAGTAGTCTTTCATCACAGTACTAATTAGTTTCCAGTTCCTACTAGAATTGAAATATCTTCAATAAATCGAGCTATTTCATCAAGCATTATGCATTCTTCTTTCATTAAACTATTTAATGTGTAAAGATGAAAGATTTTCATACCTAAAATGTTTTAACATGATAGGAAAGGTGGATCTTGAAAGTATTATGGTTACGATATTAAATGAATAACTTAGTTCAAAATAGAGGTCAATAGGTCACTGTCTCACGGTAATTATCGCCGACAAGGTCGATTTTAACTTTTTTTTCAATAAGTAGATGATAAAATATTTCACCTGCTAGGTTTTCATCTTGAACGACAATGATTCCATTCTTCATTCAAGCATTATTAGGAATTCCAACACAAAATAGTAGCGGCTATTACTGAAAGGTTTGATTATAAGGTATGGCAAAAGCAAAATGTCCAGAAGTGATCCTGTGATTTGGATTAGATGGCCAATTATTGATTCTAACATTTTTTTCATCTAAAACAATGTTGAAGTCTGCTCAAAGTGGAGTAGATTTGTTCATCTCGAATAAAAACTCTTCGTCATCTCCACTAGTTTGTCAATAACCTGATGCTATAATAAAACTTGTAGAGATGACTAAAAGTTTTTCTTTCTCATATAAAAATTGTTGTCCTACCGTTTACTCATCTGGAAAATTGTTGTTTTACTATCCAAACATTCATTCATCTAGAAATTTGTTGTTTTTGTGGTGGCCCCTGTACCCGACTGAGTGCTGAGTATGAATGTAGTGGTTGTTTTGATGAATGATCGTTACTGAAAAAGTTCTCCCAAATTTGGGTTTCAGCTTCAGAAAAAATATATATTCAAAAAACCTTAGAAAATATTGAGGTTGATTTCAAGTGATGGCAGAACCGTCGCAACTTTTGAATCAATATAATACAAAAAATGTCATATCTTCTGGTTTTTAAACACGTCTATTAGGACACTGAGTTTGGCCAAACCTGTATACAAACTGGTGAAACTGGGAAAGATATGCTTTACCTACATTCGTTTTTACGTTTTATGAAAAATGGCACTTCTGATTTCTAGACAGAAAACACTATAATATAATTGTCTATATGTATTTCCATAAATGTTCCATTTTACCAGTTATCTTTCTTTTAGATATTTTGAAAAAAGGCGATACTCATCCAAGATTAGAACCGTTCAGCCCTGGTCAAGTTTACAATAAAAGCAAGGGAAAACAATTACATGTTATTGTTAATTCAAACGAAGGTGTATAGTGATCATAGTAATCATTTCAACATGTCATAGATTCCATTCTTTGTATTTTGATATTTTGTGTGATCGATTTTGTGCCAATTTGAGTTTACTTGCCTATCACATACTTTGACTTACATCACCTATATTTATGTATGCTAAAACACCACCACTTCACACGTTTTTATTTGGTTATAATTATTCAATTATAGTAGATTTGTTGATATAAAAGGTTCGAAATACCCTGAAACAATGGTTACCAACACTACAATTTGTAGGTATACCATAATGTATGCAGAAGCATGCTCAATGAAAGATTTTTATCATTTTAATTTTGTACATATGTCCATCATGGGATGTTAGTGATGGGCAATGTGAATTTTTTCCATTTGAAAGAAAAAATATAATGTAATATTTTGAATTCTTAAACTTGTTCAAGTCTTTTACCACAGTATATCATCTTTAGGCGATAATGATAATATACTGTACTTTTACCCATATTTTCATGGATGTGCTTTCAAAGAAAAAAGAAACATAATGGATGTAGATTGTGGAATTTTTCAGCACTTTATGAGAATGGATCTTGGAGATTTTTGAGTTCAGTTCTGATGATAATCGATTCAATTTTTACAGCCTCACGTAATTTTTAATGATAAATATGTGAATTTATTCATAATATAAATTTCTATAAGTGCCCATCACACGATACTTACATACCACATGAAAATCAAAAGAATGTAAATGAAGCGTTAACGAGGAACATCTTGCATCATTATTGCATTTTTGAGTTTTTTCATTCAACTTCCAAAAATAGCTCAGGCAACTAAACTAGTTCATAATTGCAGGAAATCTGGAAAGTTCGAAACATATTATGGCACTAGTTAGGTTGACGGTCATGTCAGTTGTCAATCTTTGTTTCTAAGCAGCGAAGATTATTTTACGATTTCAATCGAACACGAATAAAATCGGCGCCAATTCCGAAATTATTTCATGATAAGCACACGTGAAATATGTTTGGATGGTTAGTTGTTGGTGGAATGCTTCAACAATGTATTGTGTCTTTAATATGTCTATTCTGCTTCTTAAGAACGTCTGGACTGGTCTGGACAACTAACATACTATCTAGACGGCTATATGTCGGTTCCCAACAACCCGAAAATCTCATCCAAATTGCTCGCCTAAGACGTTTCTCCTTAGAATATTCAAACTTTCATTCATGACTTGATGTGATATTAAAATCAGGCCGAGTATTCGTTTTCCTTATTGGCGTCCGCTTACAAATATTCAGTGAACTGATAATTTAATTTATTCATTATTTTGTTGTGAGATAAAATAAGTGCTTTTTTTTATTGTAAGGATTCGTCATATAACAATTTCAAAGGTGTTTCTTTGTATATTATTATTTCAATTTCCTTTTATCAGTAAATCAAGTGTAACAAATGGAAACATTGCATATTCTGTGTATTCATTCAGCTGTGCATAATTCGCGAGATTCAGGAAGTGGGTGACATCTAGGTTACATAATACGAACTTCAAACTGGGGAAAAACAAACTGTTGTCTATGGATGAAGTGCATAGACTACATTGCAAACATTTACTGTAGCTGTAGTTGTCAAACTTGTCAATGACATAAAAGTGTTATCATTCTTATCAGTACACAGTACACAAGCTTGAGTGAGGATTGAGTTTGTTTTCCCCCAGTTTTGACGTGGCTTCGACATGGAACGATGAAAACCGAGCGCCACCTGGTAGCATTGATTCCCGCGAATTGGAATTAGCGGTCTAGATAGTAGGTTATGTGGGTGGCCTAGACATAGTGTTCCATCGTCAACTGTCAATTAATTTTCAACTTCTTGATTCTCAAACCTCTAAATTTAACGAGCATTAAAAAATATTGAAATACTGAAAAATAACCAAACCTCATTGAAATACTGAAAAATAACCAAACCTCTCTCTTTTATTTCCTTGAAATTATATAATTATTATACAGGGTGAGTCATGAGGAACTTTACATCCTTCTACCACGACGAGGCTCCTGAGGAGAATACCCGATGTCCATCAGAAATTGTCTTCTCCTCCTACTTCTTCACCAAAATATCGGGTGATTTATGAGATTTGGCAAAAACATATTTTGCTCATATCTTTCCAACAGCTTCTTCGATTCGTCTGAATTTTTTATGGAATATTTTGCTACTACTCCTAATCGACTGATCTATTCAAAATTTAGAAAATCCAGGACCGTTCTTTACTAGTTCAGTTTTAATCAAGAAGTTCATACTGTATATGGTTTTTGTAAACTGTGACAGAGGATTTTGAAAGGTCACAAACATCAAAAATAAAATATTCAAAATTCTTCTCACACTTTCACTGAATTAAAAAAAAAACAATAAATTTCATGAAAAAACGAAAGTTTGGATAAAAATAGTTATTTAGGTTGTGTTGTCTCCCGACGCGTAGCGGAGGGAGACAAAAAACCGTGAGCTAAAATCTAATATTTTTCCCGTGTATCACACAATTTTTTTCTGTGACAGAAGATAGGAGAAAAGGAAATATTGAGAAGATATTACATTATTTTGAAATCTGAAAATTATCAACGTGAAATTTTAAGTTTTTAACAGTAGGGACACCTGCGTTGTAGGCATCTTCATCATTCTTTTGAAGTAATCAAATATCTGATGTCACTTCTGTCAGTCTAATTCTGTTATTTGATTTCAGAAAATTGCGAATTTAGTGGTTGTTTAGTAATATACGTAACCGCGAAGTCGAATGGAAGATAAAAGGACTCGCAGTTCTTTCTCGGAGACGGAATTATTGACTCATTTTTCGGAACTATAGCACAACAAGTGCCATCGACAGTGTATTATTATGTGATATATATACGGGAAAAAAGAACTCACTTTTTTTCCACGGGAAACAAGTAATTTATGAAAAGTGACATTTCATAACCTGCCAACAGAGATGAAATGCTAAACTTTTTTCCCGTCACAGAAAAAAATATTTATTTGGAAATTATTAGTCCGCAAAGCATGAACTTGTTTGTATCGTTTTTAAAAAAATTCAGTGAGTGTGAAGAACATTTTGAATATTTCATTTTTGATGCTCATTTGTGATAGTAACAGTTTACAAAAACCTTAAATAGGATTACCTTTTTGATATGAACTACACTAGTGAATTTTTTTAAGAACGGCCTGGATTATCTTCATTCTGAACAAGTCGATCTGGCAAAATAGTCCATGAAAAATTTGAACGAATCGAAGAAGCTGTCGGAAAGAAATGAACCAAAGATGAGGATAAGAAACTTTCTTATTGTCATTAGGTATTCCCCTCAGGAGCCTTTACTCGTCGTAGGGGTGTATAGAGTTCCTCATATTTCACCCTGTATAATGCCTAGCAGACGACAGGATGACCCCTTCAACCATACTAGCGCCACCACGCGGCCGTAGCGGACATTCCAGCTAATGCTGTTTGTGTATACGGTTTATGCATTCACATTGAATATGACTAGAGTGAGCTGTGATCTTTTTCAAAAAGTTGGTACAATAAACCACAGGTAAATTATTAAACAAACACTTATACGGCACAATTTCAACCAGTTATACTACCTATTCAAATTATCGGCTTGAAAAACTTCACATTTTTTGGAATAGTAGGGTATGTACCTATACGTCATATCTCCAAACATTACCGATATACTCGGAGTCAGCACATCGCACTAAATATACTGTGCTCCAACGCAAGAATACACTTTATGATTTTGATACGAATTCGACTGAAGCTCTCTCGTTGCCAATCTCTTGTACGCAGTAAATTCATACACCCAAATGGTCTACTGGTTAGCGCTGTCGACTTTCAGTCTGAAGGTCCATGGTTCGAATCGCTGTGAACTTGAACTTTTTCTGCAACTTTTTTTTTTCACCAATGTTTTTTTACTTCATTCTGGTTTTCCTTTTTCATAAAATATTTGAAGTCAAATAGGTTAGTGCGTTCAGGATAAACAGTCTCATTTTATTCAATTTTGTTGAAGAACTCAACTTTTGAAATATATTATTAATGAATGTGTTTCTACACTCCATTCGGTTTTCCTTCCTCAAAAATATTGCAATCAGGGATAGGTTAGTTCGTTGAGGATAAATAGTCTCTGAGTTTTGCCTAAGTAAAGTACTTTGAAGATGATATATAACGGTGGGCGTGGTATGTGCTAGCGTACAGTATATTTAGTAAAATCGCTACCTGGTGACACGTTCTATAGTACCAGTACCACCCTCTGTAATTCTTTTATTTTCGACAGTACAAGACACTCGAAAATGATACATCTCATCGAACATCACCTTTTCTCTGGAAAGAGGTGTGGATTTTCATAATCCGAGATTGAATTGTCGAATAATATGCATACAAAAAAGTTTAAGCAATATTCAATGTAGTCCCACCCTGTATATTATATTTCTGGATGAAATTTTGGAATGATTTCATTTTCAATGCATTGAGCATGAAAAGTTCAGTTCTTGTACCCGAATTATATCAATTCATCATCTTTAGAAGCCCTTCTTCAGGCCGTAGCTCCCTTAGGAGACATTTTTCGATTCATGCTCATAAAACTTTGCTTCCTATTTTTGATCGTAGAAGCTGCTGGTGAAATTTGGCATGCCGGGACACTCTGTAGATATCCGGGAAAGAAGTAGTCAATTTTATGAAATGTGACATTTCGTAACTTGTCAACAGATATGAAATGTATAACTTTTTTTTCTCGTCACAGAATATCAGATGGTCTATGAATTGAGTTTGATTTTTAGTTTCATGGCCTTCTGCTTTGTAAGTTTCTATATTGTTCTGAACATACCAAAAATATTACATAAGTGAGGGCGGGAAGTAGAGGTGTGTAAAGTGACACTTCCCAACCTTCAATGACGTTGGTAATGACAACATTACATAATATGGTTGTAAATAAAATGAATTTTTTTGTCAAAAATTCTTTGCTTTCCTAAAAACATTTCATAAGCATTGAGATTGTCATGAAAACAATAAAATCTTGCAAAACAAATAAGTATCAAGAACTTTTCAAAAATGCAAATTTTCATCAGTTCTCATCTATGTAGTTTGAAAATAGAAATATCTCTTCAAATGAATTCGTTCTTACGTAAGATCGTCTAGCCATGGTTTTCTTTGTTTCTGGCCCCATACGTCACCTTGTAGGGGCAGCACTTTTGGTCGGATCGCAACAAGGAATCCGGCCGAGGCTACGAAAATTAAAAACAGTAACTTACTAGCACTGTGGATTTCATTTCAAATAACCGACGTACAGGGTGGCCAACTAAGACTCCAGAGTTCGATTTCTCTGTTGTCTTGAGAGATACAAAAAAAATTCATGAATCAAAATTGAAGTAATAACCGAGCTTCACATTTCAAAATTCCTTTGAAATACACAGGGTGTTCCATGAGGTCACAGCACATCAAAGCCATGTTTTTTTCATTAAAACGCCCTATATTTTATTTCGATTTCGAATTCTCCCTGACGATTTGATTTCAACGACCCATCATACTCAGGGTCTAGCAGTGAAAGTTACTGACATATAGGGTGTGCAAAATCAAGATTTTCCAAGTTCAGGATTTTTTTCTGACGAAACTATTCATTATTCGCCAAAACGGTTTACATGTCCCTATCTCAACTTTTCACTCACTATCAATTGGTGTTCAATTGAAATTGATACAAGGTGGTCAAAAAATCTAAATTTATAATTTGTTTCAATTAAATGTCAATTGAACACCAATTGATAGTGAGTGAAAAGTTGAGATAGGGACATGTAAACCGTTTTGACGAATAATGAACAGTTTCGACAGAAAAAAATCCTGAACTTGGAAAATCTCGATTTTGCACACCTTATATGTCAGTAACTTTCACTGCTAGACCCCAAGTATGATACGTCGTTGAAATCAGATCTTCAGTGAGAATTCAAAAATGAAATAAAATATAGGGTGTTCCAATGAAAAAATCATAGCTTTGATGTGCTGTGACCTTACGGAACACCCTGTGTATTTCAAAGAAATTTTGTAATGTGAAGCTTGGTTATCACTTTAATTTGAATGCAAAACTTCTTTTTGTATCTCTCAAGACAACAGAGGTATTGAACTCTGGATTCTTAGTTGGCCACCCTGTACAAAGATGAAATTTCAACGTTTTCCCAATTTCTGCGGACATACATAGCAAAGTCACAGCCAACCTAGAATCAGATACAATGTGAATGCATCATATTTTTTATTACATGAATGTTCTTAATTTTAGATTATAAACTCAACATTTCTTTGGAATTAACAAATCTGGTTGATGATTCCAAAATTTGTTTGTTCAAAACGCCTCTTACCTTTCTTAGACGATGTTTTATAAAATACTCAGAAGTTGCCGTGGAAAGGAAATAATTTAAATTTTTGTTAAAATAATTTTATCATTTAGATAGGTTCATGAAGCAATTCGAAAATTATGACTATTTAGGTTAAGAGGCTTTTTTAGTTGAAAATGTAAGTTTACTTTAGGTGAGAGGTTTTTTATATGTATATTTCTTTATATTTTGTTTCATGTATATTGTATATTGTTGGTGTAAATAATTAATTTATAAAAGAGATTCAGATATGAATAAAATGTATATCATTTGTTAATTATAATTGTTTATTCACTTGAGCACTGATTGGCTTAATATTCTATAGGAATATTCCTTATTGTTGAATGAACGATTCAGGAAAATATTGCGACGATTTCTCAATTATTGTACAGGGTGCGTCTCTTGAAATAGAACCCCCTCTTTTGTTTTCATAGTTATGAAATAATGTTGAATGAAAAAGTCTTTTGAAACGACCCATTAGTTTTTCCGGAAAGGACATGAACTTTGATTTTTTCAATAGAACAACCTATATATTTTCCGACATGTCGTTGGAGCCTTTTTTCTGATCTCTAAAATATATATGAGTTGCAAATTTGGATGAAAAATAGTTAAGTTATTGATGATCAAAATTTATCAAAATACCGCTTTATGAACCTTCACTTCATATCATCTAATAATGTGAGATGAACATAGTGGGCTTGAAAATAATGTTCAGGCTCTTTGGAAATGTCATGATATTTTTTACTATGAAATTTGAATCTTTCAATCCCAATTCAAAAGAATATGAATGGAAGATGCGGTATTTTGCTAAACTTTGATCAGCAATAACTCAATTATGTTCCATTCAAATATACAATTCATATATATTTTTGAAACCATGACAAAAAAGCTCTATCGACACGTCAGAAAATATATAGGGTGTTCCATTGGAAAAATCAAAGTTAATGTCCTTTCCGCAAAAACGAATGACCCTGTATATACAACAACTC